CACCCCCCGCTCCACATCAAACCATGACAACTTGTCCAATGTATTTGACACTGTCCTGCACAACATCCTTGTCTCTAAATTGGAGAGACATGGATTTGACAGATGAACCACTCAGTGGATAAGGAATTGGCTGGATGGTCGCACTCAAAGTGTTGCAGTCAACTGCTCGATGTCCAAGTGGAGACCAGTGATGAGTGGCGTTCCTCAGGGGTCAGTATTGGGTCCGGTGCTATTTAACGTCTTTGTTGGTGACATGGACAGTGAGATTGAGTACACCCTCAGCAAGTTTGCTGATGACACCAAGCTGTGTGGTGTGGTGGACACTACTGGAGGGAAGGGAGAGAAGCTCAACATGAGCCAGCAATGTGCATTTGCAGCCCAGAAAGCCAGCTGTATCCTGGGCTGCATCAAAAGAAGCATAGCCAGCAGGTTGAAGGAGGTGATTCTGCCCCTCTACTCTGCTCTTGTGAGACCCCAACTGGAATACTGCATTCAGCTCTGGCACCGCCAACATAAGAAGGATATGGAGCTGTCGGAGCGGGTCCAGAGGAGGACCACAAAGATGATGCAAGGGCTGGAGCACCTCTCCTATGAAGACAGGCTGAGAGAGCTGGGGCTGTTCAGTCTGGAGAAGGCTCCGGGTGAGATCTTATAACAGTCTTTCAGTACCTAGAGGAGTAGCTGGAGAGGGACTTTTGACAAGGGTGTGTAGTGATAGGACAAGGGGCAATGGCTTTAAACTGAAAGAGGGTAGATTTCAGTTAGACATAAGGAAGAAATTTTTTACTCTGAGGGAGGTGAAACACTGGAACAGATTGCACAGAGAAGCCGTGGATGCCCCATCTCTTGATGTGTTCAAGGCCAGGTTGGATGATGGTTTGAGCAACCCAGTCTAACGGAAGGTGTCCCTGCTCATGGCAGGGGGGTTGGAACTAGATGATCTTTAAGGTCCCTTTCAACCTAAACCATTCTATGATTCTATGAAAATGTGAGCTTTTTTGACCCACTGAATGTGAAAGTTAATAGGATAAGGTTTAATTAGCACAAACCAATGCATGCAAACAAGAATGCAGGGACATAATAATTTATTAAAGTATCAGGATTCTTTGAAGGAGTCAAACTTGGAAATAAAATATTGCATCAAACTTGAACTTAATTAGTAATTTTCATACTAATCATTCAACTATGATTTATATTTATTTGTATCTAATCTGTTCATTGTTTTTCATGCATTTTTCTCTCTTTAGTTTCGTAACTAAATGTATATTCCGAATGCAAAGATTTTGGCTTTCATAAAAGTGTAGGTAAAACTTAATGTACGTTTATTTTATGCATGACAAGTATTTTAATTAAAACCTCACTCATTTTTCTTAAAAGATGCCAATGGTACATAAAGGCCAAAATGAAATCTGAAGAGAAAAGAAGAGCTCATCTGCAAAATGGAGATGGTGAGTAGTTCAACACTGTGTTATGTAATATCTATGTCATGTTTTAAATGAAGAATGTTTTCTGTCCAGCTTTTGCCCTTGATTTTTTAATCTGGCCATTTGAATAGTTCCTTGTTATCCGCACCATCAAGGATGTTTATTTTTATTTGTATGTCCTTTTGAACAATTTCACTGAATTCATTCTAGCTAATAAGGTTTTTTGGTATTCTATTAATAATACTTATCAGTTTTTCAGGTATATTTCTTCACATTCTCAACTGCTCCAGACCAAATTGAGTTTCTGCCTCAAAATTCCGCTCTTGATGACTATGTGCCTTATTTGTATCCAGTTATCTTTGGTTTTAGGGATCTACACTTCCAGCCACCCAAGAAATAAAAAGTGGAATGGGTTACCTTCCCTCACGTTCCTGCTCACTGCTCAGTACAGTGAGAAAAAATCCTGGCAATCTCTTGTGGGCAATACATTAGTTTATTTAGTTTAGTTTAGCTACATAGGTTAAATTACTAGCCTCGCTGTTTTAATTTAGAGTTGCTATTATAAGTTTTTGTTTATTCAAAGGGTATTATACAAAGGGTATTAATTTTTTTTTGTTTGTTATTTTTTATAACATCCCTGAAAATACTGTGATCAAGACACAAGCTGAGTCACCAAAAGTAAAATGTTTTTTTCAGGTGACACCACTATATCCAGTCAAGTGGCTTTTTCTGTCAAGGAAAAGGGCACATTTCCCCATAAAGAATACTTCCTAGGAATGTTTGTTTGTCATTTGTTTCCAAACATAGTCAGAAAGGAAAAAAGACAAAAACCTTCCTGCTGGAGAATTTGATACATGCCTCTGAGACCATGACTGAATTTAAGGAAAGCTTCACTCAGTGTCTTTCAGGCAGAAGAAAACCATCTCCTGTTCATCCTCCCTCTCTCCCTTGGGAGCTCAGTGTGAGTCAGAGGAAGACTTCAGGAAATAAACTCTTTGAAGCCAATTAGAAACAGGTCCATGATCTTGCTAATAATATGACATCCCATGATGTCAGGTGTCCTCCCCACTTCTTCATTATGTGTGTACTCTATCTTGCAGTGGTCCAAATGGCCGTTGCACACTATTTAATGAAGTCCAGACACATTTATATATCCTTAACGTGTTCTTCACCTAATGCATTTAGGCTCATCAGAAAATGAGCTGCTTTAGACTTAGCTACTAAGTGATGAGAGGAAGAAGGCTGAGAGGTACTTAATTCTTTTAAAAGAAGTTCTCTGGACCCAGCTGCAATACCCTCCTCTTATCCTGATAAGCTGATGCATTATCTACTTCAACTTCTGTTAATGAATTGAAAGTTTTCCAGAACTTAATCACCACATGGCAGCAGCCTAAAAAATTTTCTATTTTCTATCCAGATAGTCCAAGAGAAACAACTGAAGTTCTTGGACATGCCATGCTCAATAACACGAGAGATATTAGCCATGCCAGAAAATGATGGCTTGCTGGAGCCTGCCAAAACAATCTGGCACCAACCTACTATTGCCACAGCCATCTCCAAGAAAGCAGACAGAAATTATCAAAGCCTTGTAAATGGATTTGGATATTTTTGTTCTCGTCTTGCACCTGGCTCTCTGTTTGTTCAAGCTGATCAGAAGAGAACAAAGCAGCACAGTCCCTCAGGACCCATCTTCAGAGAAAAGAATCTCAAATATCGGACCTTTTTGGCAAAAGGAATGTTCAGCCATCCATCCATAAATGAAAGGAGTGAATTAGAAAGCAGTTTTCAAAGTAAAGGACAGATTGCCTAAATTTCCCAAGGAGTAGCAAAGAGGAATATAAACTGCTTTGGCAGTAATCAGTGTTAGTCTTTAGGATCTGCTTTTCCCAGTATCTTCGAGCCCTCACTTGGGGTCTCTGTAGACATTCTTTCAAGTGACCAGCGCAGAGCTCATATTTTCTCTTGTGACTTGCTGCATTTTCCAGATTTACTTGAAGCATTCCTGAAGGATGTGAGCTAAGTGCAGAGACTCCAAGGAGCCTCTTCAGACTAAAATAATAAATAGCACTTGGAAAGGTAATGCTTGCAATAAAAAAAAAAAAGAACAAAACCACCCTGAATGTTCTTTATCTTACCCAAAATAGCATTTTCCTCAAAACATAGCTAAGGTTGCTATTTTTTCCCCATTAGAATTTTCCAAAAACTGTATTGTCCTCTTAATTTTCCTGCCTGAAATGCTATACCTCAGGAAACGCTTGTGTTCAGCTGGGTCAGAGACAAAACAGCATAAGAGTTTGACACTACTTTACCAATTGAACACCAGAGACTGAGTTTTCTAAAGGCCTTTGACTTTTTGTCTCTATGGGACAGGATAAACTCTGGGACCTGTATTTCCTCCATTCTTTACACTAACACTGTTCATCAGTTATCATTGCAAGTTGAAAGGATGTTTGATGTAACAATGCACTGCAGAAATCTTGAAGAAGTATCTATGCTTTCAGAACATCTCAGAAGATTTGAGCAGGGTCCAGCAGGACCTTGCTTACAGTTTCAGCCAGTACTTTTGAATGCTTTTGCTAGTGTTGGGTTTGCAGAGGCTTATCCTCTGTCTATGGAGTTGTAACATGCAGCTTTTTAAAGTCTCAGAAACCTCATCTAAAAAAGCCACTTGAAGGATAAGATGAAATGCTTGAGTCTGTGCCTAGTCAATCTTTGAAGGCCCTGGTGCTGCTAGCAAATAGGGACAACTCCTGCATTCTACACTTGGTTTCTGTGAAATCAGTAGCAAGCATTAGTTATTTTGTGTCATTAACCTCTTTGGGTCATTATCCTCTTCTGTTGGGTTCTGGAACTTTAAATGTGGAAGATTTAGTATATTATTTCCAATCCTTTCAATTGGAAAGTGTTTTTTTTTTTTTTTAAAAAAAAAAAAGAGAAAACTGTATTGTTACAGTTTGGGAATGTCAAAGAGTGCTTGATTCCTAGTATGCTCTCTTTTTTGCAGTACGTTTCCCGGGAATCAAGACATATATTGATCCAGACACATATGAAGACCCATCTCTTGCTGTCCATGAGTTTGCAAAGGAGATAGATCCTTCAAGAATTCGTATTGAGAGAGTTATTGGAGCAGGTAAAAGTATGCTTTTTAAAATGTCTAGGTGTGGTTAGGCTGCTTTTCTCAAGTCACCAGGATAATGCAAGTGGTCAAGTACAGTACAAAATGTGGGCATGTTTCTCTAATAGCACCAGTTTGCTCTCAAGTGTGGTGTACATGAAGTATTGTATTTGGCTAATGTTCCAAATGTGAGTATATTCAAATAAAGAGTTCTGGAGACGTAGATTGTCCCAAGTGATAGGTTTATCCCAAACCCTTTTGAAGGCCTTACCAATATTTTGGATAAGGTTAGATTGTTGGGTTTTATTTGGGGGGAGTGGTGGTTTTTACTTTGTTCCAAATGTACTCAAAACACTGTGTCACTCAGCATTTGCCATAGCTTGTGTCACATATTCTCTGTCACTGAGGAGGAGATTAGATCGGAATCTCTTTCTAGGGAGAGATAAGATCAGAATATAGAATACTGAGAAAAAATTATTCTTAAACAGAAAATAGGAGGAGTACAAGGAGGAAAAGGAGAGGGTGGCTTGAGACAGGCTTTCATGTAGCTGTTCAGGGAGGGAAAAGAGGAAGATCTGATGAGAATGTGTAGACAGTATGAAAGGTGACATTGAGCTGGGAGCAAACAAATATCCCTGTTTGTCTTTGTCCAGGTGTGTGGTGGGGATGGAGAGGAATTATGTCTGAACAATTGTTTTAAACCCTGTTCTCGTCTATGAGGTGTTTACCTTCAACTGAGAGCATCTCATTAGAGATTTAGGCCATTTCACAGCTGTTTGAAAATAAGTTTCAGAAACTCATTAATCCTTTATGTATATTGGCCTTTTTTTTCCTAAGGGACATAACCTGCCCCTTGTATTTTCAGGGATCTTACCCTTTGCTGATGTGCTGTATTTATAGGCATGTCTATTCTGTGCATTGTTACCATCTTGTCTTAGCTTTGGTTTAATTGTCAGGTTTTGCAACTCAGGAAAGTTCTGTGCAAGTGTTCCCACACGTTCACTTTTGGAAAGCCTTTGTAAGGATAAAGGCTCATGACTGCTGTCTAGAGTTCACTAGAGGTCTTGGTGGCAGCTCAGTGGTGACAGAAAACACTCCTTTGCAGTTAACACAACAGCAGGGAAATACTCGTAAAGATCAGAGTCTTGTAAAAACATTTATTGCAACTTGTGTTCTGACTGTCTAGGGCGGATAGCATTTCATTGTTGTCCAGGACCTGAGATTGTTTGCTCTCTGTTTTATCCGGTTGTAGTTTACCGAGGACAGAGAGTCAAGGCTAGAAAAAGGCCTTACAAACTTACCTAACTAGTGGGTCTCAACGCATGGCTTGTGACCAATATGTCATTCAAAAGGCCCACCAGCGTTTCTCAGAGTTATAACAAATGAAAATAAAAAACAGACTGGCAAGGGAAGTCTGAAGCTCCTGTGGTGCATTACGTCCTCTATGCTGTTACTCGCACACTGTCAGTGGTTGGAGAGCATTAATCATTTCTCAGCCATAAACAAAGGGAAGGCGGGAGAGCTAAGAGTCTGTGTCAGAAATTTTGATGAGCATAGGAACAGAATCCTGAGCTGTAATTCCAGCTCCAAAATTTCATTTCCTCCTGTGAAAGACATTAACACTGTACCTGTCTTCAGTTTACACAATATGGATATTTCTCTGGTCGTTAAGGTATTAAGAATGACTGAGTTTTGTAAATTGCTGTCTTAAAGGTACTTATAATACTGACTACACAGATGTTTTGGATTCATCTCACTGTAATTTTATTTCTGTAGCAATAATTAATATGTTCCATACTCCAGTGCCCACCTCTGAGCTATCCATTCTGGGCTTTCTTTAGCTATACTGTTTTGTTACTTACTAAGTAAATGCCAACATACAAATGCTTTTTTTAAACTTATTTGCTTTGTCTAACTTTAATGCCATGAAGAAAAAAATAAAATCATTCACAGTACAACAGACTGCAAAAACCAGAGTTACATCTTGTCGAAGGGTGTCAGTGGAAAAAAAAAATTAATTTGCTCATAGTGAGCCCTCCAAAGAACTCATCCTCCCTAGCATTGTCAGGAAAACACTATCAGAAGACATAATGCACTGAGATCCTTCTTTTTTATCTTTGTTTTATGTATCTCAGTCACTCAAGGAAGGAGAGGTATTTTTCAGTTGAGATCCCTCATTTAATGATATGTTACTACACTGATAGCAATGGCAGTGTCTCCAGTGTTGCTAAAAAGTGTTTTATTCACTACAAAATGTCATGCAAATAATACAACAGAAATAAAACCTGGTCTGTTAACAAACAGGGGAGAGAAGGTACCAACCTGAAAGTAAGAGCAAAAATTCTGTTTCACACTGCAGTCCATATCACTAGAGTACTTTAGAGTCTACCTGATTGCTTAAGCTAGATAATACATAGCTGGCACTGTGCACCATTGGAATTATGAGCTTGAGAGAGCTCCCAGAGGGCTGACTTCTGCAGAAAACATTCCATCTGATTTCTTTTATTTCTTCCTTTTCTTCAGACATACTGTAGATATTGATGTCTTAGATTATAAAGCACATGGAACTACATTCAGCACTGGTATAACTGCCGATTTCAAAGCAGTTGAATATGACAGACAAGGATTGAGCATATTGATTTTAGTTCAGATGAAAATTATGTCCTTATTCTCAATTTAATTCATTTATGAAAATTCTTTGCTCAGCTGCTCTCTCCTTTTTGTTATATGCATGGTAGTGATTGTTGCCTGCTTGACGTATTTTATTTTTATATTTTTATCTTCTAAAATTAGTTGGATAATCTGCCATCTTCAAAGATATCTGCCTATCAGGACTTGCTAACTGGTAGCAATGAAATTTAAACCCATTTCCATGCAGGCAGGATGCAGGTTAAATTCCATGCCTGAGGCATGGAGAGTACAAATTCTTACACAGTTCTTCAACAGCTGCTAGGGGACATAACATATCATTAAGATGCACAGCAGTTCTAAAGCTTTCTTTATGTCTTCTCTGTAATTCTGTATTAAACATTGTAACTGGATATAAAATTAATTTCCTGTCATAGAAGAATTACTTTTAAAAGATGTTTACAGTTTTGACCTAAGTGAAACAAAAAATTAAAGCCTTTTACCAAATTAAACATTAAAATCTTGTAAGAAGTGAATTAATAGATGCATTTCTTAAATTTGTTTTGTTTGAACATTTTATTTTGAGCAAGGGTTTTCATTTTGAATTTCTGTAACTTTAATTTTTCAAAACAAAAAATATTTCCATTCAAGAACTGAAAGTTTTCATTTTGAAAATGTCGAAATGGAACATTGCAGATATTTAAAAATGTTTTCCTAGCATTTCTGGTCAAGAAATTTTTGAAATTCATCTTTTCCTGAAAGCAGTTTCCATTTCGGTTTTTCAATGGAAAAAGTCATGTCTAAAAGCTCTTGCCAATTCACTAGTTGCAGTGCAGATGGCTTTGACACTCAAGGCAAGTATTTTTTTCTAGTTTATTTTTTCAACTTACCTAGCTCTGTACCTGAGTTATCTTTTAAAGTATTTGGTAATTATAATCTTGGATGCTGTGAATTGGAAATGTACATTATATTATTTGCTGCTGAGCAATCTATCTGAGGATGATACCATCAAATTAGAAGTAGTATTTTCAACTAAAGCTACTAATTATCTCATTTCTGATTACAGCACTGTTAAAAGTTTAAATCTCCTAACCACTCCACTTCCTCAGATACACACACTATAAATTGAAAAACACATACTTCCTATTCGTCATTTTTGTCCTATATTTCAAGCTCTGCTTAGAAGTGCAAAATCTAACAGCCCCTGAATGTATTTACCTACTTATACTCTGTTGTACAGGTACATTAAATGCTGCACAAGACATTGGCATTTCTCTGCAATCATTTATTAGCCATGTTATACAGACAAGTTGGTCTGCTCCTTTGGTGCCAAGTATAGTAACATAAGGGAAGTACTACATGATGTGAAAAAAGAAAGCAAATATCTAAAGTTGTTGCTTACACACTGACTGTTCCACATAATGATGACTTTCCATCAGATTCTGAAAACAGGTTCAGAGAAGGTGGCAACAAAAGGTCAAACTGAAAAAGTAGCAAGATCTTCATGCAGTAACAGCAGATTGGAAAATAACCTTTGATAGTTACAAAGATCAAGATGACACTTGGCCTGCAACAGTCAAAGACATCATAGCCAAAATAAAAAGAGAATGTCTATACATTTAGTTTTAGATTTAATAAATGTTCCTATTGCAAGTTCATATCATTAGGCAGGTAATAATAGGAAATGCAAAGCAGCAACAATTTAAGATAGGATGCTGAGTTCACGAGATTACTTTAAGAAAAAACGACTTAGGGCAATCTCTTGTCAAAATCCTTTTTCAGGTCCTCCTAGTGGACGTTTACTCAGCTGATGTTTTTGAATGTAGCCAGTTAATTGAAACTTTGATCTCAGCTCTCCCAGTCTTCCCCTCTGACATGCTTTTGGTATTCCAGTACATCTGCAAACTCTCTGAATTACTATCCTTCCTTCTGATGCTTAGTGAAAATAAAGCAAGTAAAATACAGATTTTGCAAAGTCCTTTCTAAACTTTACTTCATATGTAGACACAAGAGATCTGCATTAAAGTGACAATATCTGCACATAAATCCATATTCAAGATGGATATGTCGTCAGGTTACTTCCCCTGAGTGGCTTACCATCATCTCCTACCTTACATCTGCTTCATCTGAGAAAAAAAAAATACTGTTTTGTAGACCGTTTGATTGAATGGAAGGTTATCCAGGTTAATAGCTGTTAATGGTCTCTTTTGTTAGTCTTTGAGTAACTTTTGCTGATATCTTGATTCAAACTGGAGGGTAAAGGCAGTAGGGGAAACAGTTTATAACCAAAATGGAAATTGCAGTTTTATCAAATATTGATAATAGCAAGCAGATTACAATACCAAAGGCAAAATAGAACCTATCTGTAAGCACTCAGCTTATGTTTCTCATGGTAACATCAACCAAATAAACAGATATTAGTGAAGTTGAAGTTCTAGCAGTAGTTACTGTCTAAATGATGAAATTGATTAGTCCATTGCCTTTTATTTTACCACTACTCATGACAAAGTTTTACTACTGTTTAATTTGATATTGTATATTCTTGGATTCAAAACTCTTGGCTGAGTTTTTTTATCACTAGTATTAAATAATCTATGAGTCTATGAGATCTCCCATTGGTTACTGGGTGCCTTTTTGCCACTTCCCACAATTCACCGTCTATTCATTGCTCTAGATTTTCTTCAGATGGTACGTTTCAGCCACTCTTTATATTGAGCTTGCTGCACCTACTGACATGTTATCATATCATTTGATTTTGTCCTGTCCATGACACTTTTTTGTGCCCCATCACTTCTTACTCTTTGGTTTAAGGCTTCAGCACCTCTTCATGGAAGGAATTCCCAGAGGTACTTTGTTGAGTCTGTCTTAAAAGTTACAATTATTCTCTTATTTTCTTTGTTAAAATGTTAAAACTCAAGGAAGAGGCCAACTCTTCAATTTTTCACAGAGATTACACTATATTCTTTTTTATAATCTAAATTTTCTGCTAGTTCTTCCACAGGTCTAGTGGATAAAACTGGGGAAAATGAGTTGAGCTGTATTTGGTATTGTGACCTTTCAGTTCTATCAACAGCAGCTGTCTGTGTTGCAAGACATTTGTTTTGATCCTGTGTAGTAATACCAGACTGTATATGAGACTTTTAAGTGATTAACTATTCCTGTTTCATTTTAAATGACATACATGTTATGACTGAATGAGAAAAGGGATGCGTGGATTGCACAGGGGAAGTTTCTAGACTGCTCAGTTAGTTTCTTTTTGTATAATATACAGTAAGATGTGTGGGGTTTATATCATTAAATCAGGGATTATTTATACTTTATTAAAACTGAACAGACAATGAACTCTATCTCTTTCTCTAGTTATCACCAGCTTCTTCCCTGGAGCAAGGAAAGGTGTCAACTTCATTGACATCTGGCTCTTAGCTTCTACTTATTACACATGCAGTCATGAACCTTTACTGCTGCAGGGTCAACATTTGTCTTGTTTATCTTCAAACTTGAGCAATGAGACTTAGATTCTTAGATTTTAAAAATCTGTTTTGTTGAACACATTCCCCTTTGACTTTAAGAACATTCAAAATTCTTTGTCTGAACAAAAGTGTAGAAAAAATATTCTGGGATTAAATCTTGTCAAACTCTTTCTCAGTGTAAATAGTTCAATGCTTTAAATTGTCGATCCCCATCTAGTCTAAACCAGAACTAGAAGTTATTACACATACTTTAGATTTCTAAATGTACTAACTGTCTGTTCTGTGAGCCGATGATCACTTACTGTCTGTTTGACATCACATCACAAAAAAAAATTGCTGTTAGTCTTTATGTTCACCAGTTTATCAATCCCAATATCCAAGGGGAGTGAAATTTCTTTCTCACTGTACAAATCATGCATCCAAAGAAGGGAAAAGAAACAGGTCAGGGAGAACACATGATGTTCCTTTCCCTGCTTTGGATGTTGTATGAGTAATAAATCTTGGGATTATAAGTCCTTCACCTGCCTCCTTCAGTTTAAATCATTTCAAAACACTTGGTGAACAGCCCTTTGCAGTCCCTGAGGTATGAATGCCATTATTTATGAAATACTGAATTTGTAGTACTCTTGTATAATCTCCTACTAGCAAAATGATTTATTCTGTAACCTATGCTTTCCAAATCATTCTCAAAAATGAGATTTTGCAGTTATACAGATTTATTGATCATGAAATCTCTTTTAAAATCTCAGTATTAAGACTCTAGTATTTTTGCTTTTCACTGTTTCATCAAGAGAGAGAAATTGGAAAGTTCGAAAAGCCCATAAGATGCAATAAGGTCATGGCTTTAGAGATATGTTCTAGCACTGCTGGATGTGTCACAGAAGAGAAGACTGATATACTATGTTTCCTTCAAAACATTCAGGTTTCGTGACTTTGTTGTATGGTTGGACATTAGAAGTCCTAATTAGCCACTACTTTTTCAGTGGCAGTAGTCAGGCAAACAAACTTTTAAGGAGAGCCTTCTAAGAGCCAAAGGGGCAAATCGTATAGGAAAATCCCTACCCAACTTCCTCTTTTGTCAAAAGATTCCCAGAGCATTAGTCTGATGACAAATATTTTGATACATAAACACACATCTTCAGGGAAACATATGCTTTGATTTATTTTTAAAAATTAAGTAGAAATAAAATAAATGGGGATTTTTTTGAAGAAAGATGACCTGGGACACTTGGCTTTTGTTAGTTGATTAAGAACCTGCTAATTTATTCAGAGGTTATGTTCAGCATCTGTTGATTGTACTCTTGCACTTGGTGATGTCTCTATTATGAAGTGAAAGACAAACTACAAAATTGGTTTTTTAATCCCTCTACTCTTCCTGGATCTTATTGGCTAATAAAACCTTGTTTTGTTTTAGTGGAAGCAACAGAACCTAATAAAATAAAAGCTGTATGACAATATCCATTCTAATCCTATAACATCAGGGAATTTCAGTTTTCTGAAGTGAAGTTTCTGCCTTTAAGGCCTCTGTCTTCTAGATTCAGTTCATATCTGAAGACACACCGTTACAGGGTAGAACTCTTTATTTTATTTTCTTTTTTTTCTGTCCTTAAATTTTAACAAAAGCTAATTCAGACAGTACTCAATGGAGAGGGTAACAGATTGTTTCCTCCAGTTAAGTATATATCTGTTTATGACTCATCTTTGTTTTTCAGCAGTTCTAATTCCAAAATGACTGGGGTCGAGAATTTAGTTTTGCTATGGAAATACCCTGCACTGAGAAGTTCTTTGAAATATTTTTGTGAGCATTGTTTTCCATTTACTGAATTATGACCCATTGAAAACTGACCTGCAGGCATCAGAGTATATTTGGTAGGGGCTTTAAATAACTTTTGAGTAGCTTCAAGATCAAAGGAAAGTTGTGATTTCCATATAAACTTAATTAGTAAATGTGTAAAGAGAATGCAAGGAGACACACATTCTTCAAAGGCCCTTACATACACAGAAAAACATCAGGTGAAGCAAGCTTTGCTCGTTACGCAACTTGGTCCTGATTTGCTGAAACTGTTGGCCTTTCGCTGTCTGAATAGTGAAATATGTCATTAATTTCGAGTAGGTGTATAAGTCCATTGACATAAATCATAAGCAAGTGCTTTTCTGGGGCATAATAGAATTAAGTACATTTTAAATGCTTTCTACAGTTGGAGGATAGCCGGGTATTCTGATATTCTTATGACATTCATTTTCATATAGGTCTTAGTGCATGACACCCTTATAGGTAGATATTGCTATAAATAGATTTTTTAGATAGATATTTTGTCATCGTTAGAATTGAAATCTAAATGTGATTGTATTCCTTCCTCATAGCATGCTCAGTTATATCACAAATACACTGATATCAAAGTTCTGTCTCAAAGTGTCAGTAAAGCAAGATGAAGCACACCGTGCAGGGCAGATGGTTTGGCTGTTGCAGTGAAAGTGTAAGTCCCCATGATCTCATGATGTGGCACAAAGGAAAGGTGATTATTTGTTGTGAAGTAATGCTGAATATTTTGCTTTTCTGGGATGTGATGAAACTCGGGAACTTGAATATCCCATCTGTTATTTCTCTGTCCACTTCTACGGGCTGTGTGAGTTTCTTGAATATTTTTGCGTTCTTGTTTCACTGACAACTACAAAGAACTCTAAACTATTAAAAAAAAAAAAGACAGCTTTTAAGGCAGCTATTGAAGGTTATTTTGAAAATAAGGTGTTTAAGTTCAGCAATACAGACTGTACTGTAATTCTTCAGGCACTGTGAGTGATCTAACAAATATTGTATCTATTTAAGGTGAGTTTGGAGAAGTATGCAGTGGCCGTCTGAAGACCCCAGGAAAAAGAGAGATACCTGTTGCAATTAAAACTCTAAAAGGCGGTTACATGGACAGGCAGAGAAGAGATTTCCTGAGAGAGGCTAGTATCATGGGACAATTTGATCACCCAAATATAATTCGCCTTGAAGGAGTTGTTACCAAAAGTAAGTTCCTATTAATAGTTTTTTGTTGGTTTTCACATTCTATGTCATTTAGTATCAAAATAAAGCTTTACTTCCAATTCAATATAGATTGCAATTCTCAGAAATTATCCAAATCATAAAAGACAGCAGATACTGCAGAGTTTGGGACCACAATAGGAAATGCATAGCCTATCTGTTTTCAATTAGAAGTGTTTTATTTTTATTTTTTTATAAAAATCCTCTTTATTCAAATGAAGTCTTTACAGGTTCTTATAAAATAGACTATAGAGTTTGCTTATAGTCAAGTGGAATACAGTAGAGAAAATCATAAATGTAACTGAGTTGACAATGAAGTCAAATCATCTCGTAACGTAGCAGCTATATTCTTCTTTTCCCACAAGCATTCATTATTTATTTGGTTGTAGTTCACTGATTTTGGTACCAGAAGAGATCAATTTCCTATATTACAGAAAAAAAATGTAAACTCTTTTAAACTTATTGTACATTTGCAAATGATTCACTAAAATTCCAGAATGATCTATGAAATGTCTTACTCTATATACCTGTTGCAGCTGCCAAGAGATATCCTTTGCGTCTGAAACCTAGCATTTTTAGCAGTGTCACTGACTTCTCTGAAATGCTGAAATACCTAGTTATCATTTAAGTATTAAGTAAAAAGTCTTATTAACGTGTATGTGATTTCTTTAATGCCAACTTTTTACGGTAATGAATTGAAAAACTAAAAAGTTATACTCTTCTCAAAATTAATCGTTACCTCAAGGAAGCCATGTTGTTTGCTGATGTGCAGTACTTTTATTTGTCTTTTAAAGAGTAAGTGTTGTGTGCATAAAACAATGATGTCCTCTTACCATCACAGGAAATATAGTAAATATGTTATGAATATTTCCTGTTTTCACCTTGTTACAAAATCAAAAGCTGTGTTTGGAAAACACAAGGTACTAGAACAATGAGGAAAGTATAGCTCCCTGACTCATGTCATTGGAATGGAATTTCGATAGGTTTATGGGATGACCTTGTTCAAATCTGTCTCTCTGTGGTTCTAAATTAAGATGAAAAGGATCTTTTTTTTCTTCACATGATATTGCAAGAATAAACTCATTATTATTTAGGAATGCTTGGTTACTAGACTAACAAAATCCGTTGCATTGCAGACTTCTGGAAAGATATTGCTTAGTCTCCTCCATTGGTCTCCTGTCAGTAACTGCTCTGCTGACAACAAACAAGAACACGAGTTAATACTGGCTGAGCAGCATTGGAGACCTTTGTCAAGAAATGTAAATTTGTAGCAACTCTAATTGAATTTAGCTCCTTGCTTCATAATGAGCAGTATAGCAGCAATGAAATTCCACCAGTCCTCACCATCAGGGGCAGTTTGTGAACCAATATCACAGGTATGACTAGGATCCATGTGGTGGATCTAGTAGTGTATGTCTCATTTCTGAAAAAGGCTAACGGCTGTGATTTACAAACATTGTTTAAATCCAGTTAGATGGTGCAGACAGAGTACAGTATGATGTACTTGGCAATAGTATGATTGTTTAATCTTTGCTACATTTATAAATTTTCTTTCTGTAACTCATCATCAGTCCAGACAGAAATGAAGATTGCATTCAGAAAATAGAAACAAACAGATAAATCAGTGCTCCAACAGTAGGATATTTGCTCCTGTTCTACAAGAAAAGTGATTATAGACAACTGTAAGTCAAGGAGTCATCATTAGCAGTTCTGCTTTTCTCTAAGGAGTCAACAAACTTTATTATTGTTTGTGGAATGTTTGATTAGAGGTAATATAAAAACAGTAAGTGTTACTGTCACACTATCCTGTAAAAAATATACATCTCTTTCAGATGTAACATAAGTACAGAAAGTTTGAAAGGAAATATTTTTGGGTCAGGCAAGTTTAAAAAGTAAAACAATCATACAGCAGTAATTATAGAATGGAAAAAACACGAGTTATGAACAAGTTTCACCCTAAGACATTGAAAGTGCAGGTTATATAAAGTATAAAGGATGAAGTTGTGCAGTACTGCTCTGCTGCAGGGTAGAAGCTAGGAGGCAGGCTGGGCAATGGATACACGCACTCTGTTATGCTTCTCTTTTGCCAGTTTATCTTTAGGACGTGGCCATGTGTTTACACTGCCCCATCTCTGGTATTTAGAGAATAACATGGCTTCAGCTGGGAGCAGAGCAGTTTCACGAAATCCTAAATCTAGGTTTGCACAAGCCAACATGGGACAGAAATTTCCTATAACTAAAAGCTGTGCTGTAAAAGTCAGATAGAACCTTGTCCTAGCCAAATTATTTATGGAATGGTAGCATGATTAAAAGGTGGTTTGTGTTAAACTTAGATTAATAACAGCAGAAACTATTTATCTGATGCACATTACAGATCCACTAACCTATAAAGGCACATCAGATGCAGTAAATTTGATTAATAGACGTGCAAAGCACATGCTTTCCTCTTTATAACCATTCATCATTATCTGCTAGCAGTTGCTGATATATATCGCATCAGTTTGTAAGCAGTACCTTCCACTACAGTGTCATTGACTAGTGAACAAAAAAGAAAAAGGATTTGATTGTAATAAGCAGAAGTGCTCTACCAGATCAATAGCTATTGACTGTGGCAATAACAAATTTGCCTGTTCATTACAAATGAGAGCTTTTATCTGGTGCTACCAGCTAAGCAGATGTTAACTTTTAAGTGATACTCATTTCAAAATTGCTATGGAATGTCTACTGTACAGAATGAAAAAATGCTAAACAAAGCCTGCTCAAAAGTAGGTCTGAAACAGAGTTTTAATCCTCTTTTCTCATTGCTTCATTTCTCATTTGTCCTAACTGCAGTCCCTAATCACAGAGGGAACTGTAGGGAGAACAGTTGCTGTATAGCAGACAGTTCATTTCAAGAGCCGTTGCTGAGCCAAGGCAAAAAGGCAAATACACCCTAGGACTGAATCTGGATCCGATCATTCACTTATATTGCTAATCAGAAGTCACAAGGGAAACTTTTCTTGTTTGGTTTGTTTCAGCAACAGCATTCCTTGCACGGTTTGCCATAAAAGGCTGCTTATTGCCTTGCAAATTTATGAGAGATGCTTAGGAACTTCATAAAAACATCCGTGTTTCCTTTTCAAGTCATATTAGCACAGTGTGATTTTAGGACCTCTTTTTGGATGTGTCAGGGCATGCTCAGCTGATTTATATGTCCTTGACAAAGCTGCTGCTATTTCATAAGCACATATAAGAAAATAAAACTTCTTTCTCCAGCACGAACATATGTCACCAACATTGAGATCTGGGCTGTATAAAAGTAAGATGTGTCTTCCGCTTCTACATCATGCTGAAGTCTGTCTTGCAGACTTTCCATGAAAATGCTGTAAAGTAAATTAAAGTTATGCTTACAGCAAACACCTGCCAACATAGCTATATCTACAAGAGACATTTTAACTATACTGGAAGAAATCATTGGTGTTACACTAGCCAAACTGGGATCTATAGTTAGTTTAGCTCGATGGTATCTTGCACAATGAAGAACAGCCTAATCAGTACTGTGTAATACTGTGTCAATACAAAATATCAATGCATGCAAAGGCTTTATTATAATCATAATCTTAGTTTGTTCCCCTCTCCCTCAGACTTTACCTCAACTGACTTTCAATTGTTAGAACTAGTTTCTAAGGAATTGCTTCCAGTTCTGAACTGTGACTGCCAGAGGATTTGCACCTGCCACATGTACAAGTGGAATCTTTTTAAGGCATTAATTTTCTTTACCATTAGGTATATTGTTATTTTCCAGAGGAGTTTTCAAATTAATTGCTTCGCAAAAGAGGATGCATGAAAACAGCCCCTAGATTTTTGGTTCTGTGTAAGCTCACATCGCCATAATATCAAGTCTGGGTTTGGAACGACACGTTCAACTCCCTTATTTTCTCTTCACTGTTTTGCTTTAGTGACTTTCAAATTGTGAATGCTATCACAGTTTTGAAATTGTTAGTCAGTCATCTGGCAGATTAAATTCAAAGCTTTAATCATGGAGTTTCTTTTTCAATTATGGTGTATAACCTGTTCAGTGCAAGAAGAGTCCTGAGGTCAGTGTACCCTGCCTTGTCCAAGGCATAGCAACAGCATGATCCTCTTTCACTACAATTTGCAGTCTGTAGCTCTTCATATCTCACCCATTTTTCGTTTATGAAAAATGCTGGAGATAACAATGAATTTATTTTTTTTTTAACCAAGACGTTGTGTTCTAGGCCTTTGAGCCCTTAGTGTAATGAATCTAATGTTGCCCTTTCTCCAACCTCTTAACAGGTCGAGACTGTTAAATAGAGTTCAGAATTCATTTTAGAAATTGACATATTTTGCAGTACATGTGTTCATTATACACAGCATTGTATAGTTGGCTGTTATGCAAAAGTATTGAAGAAATTTTGTGGCAGTTTTTGTAACATTCTTACCTTGGTCATGCCTGGTGAAATTGTACTCCCAAGAAATGTGATTGTGCAAAGATTAAGTGTTAACGTTTTAAGAGTTAAGTTGTGACTCTTTGAAGCAGGCTGCGCCATGATAGCTTACAAAGTACGATTATGATTACACCAAAAAAAAAAAAGTGACCTACATTATAGTATTTATCATTGATTTCTGAAAAGTAAAACCTTTAGAGCCAAAAGAAGACATACGATGTTACTAAATTCCATGTTAGCTTTATAGTATTGTTTATAACCTACAGTGTAACCAATTTCAGATCTTGACATTTACTTCTGTCAGTAATCTCAGTACATCAGTGAGGCATCACTGGCATTTCCAGGCACAGTTGTACTTGCTGGAGGCTAAAATGGCTTCACACCCACCTCTTGAACCCACCTCTTGTACTGGCAGGCGCTTGCATCTGCCTTACACAACACAGATGCACAGCAGGGTATGAAGACGTTATTCATCCCTGCATGTCTTCCATTCTGCTTATAGATAATCCACTGTGACACAGAGTGGTGGTGAGACTA